TCCAGTGACGCAAGTGCAAGTAGACTGTCTCTTGCTGATGTGGCAGCAAGAAAAAAGACTCGGTCTACACTTAAGTCTATTTTAGACTCAATAATAATAATAATAATAATAATATTATTATTATTATTATTATTATTATTATTATTGTTATTATTATTATTATGAGGTATTTTGGAGAATAAGTTAGAAATTAAATATTATTATAAGAGATCTTGTCTTGTTGGACAAGTTAGAAATAGGTTTAGGAGTCTTATTTAAAGGCAGTGTCTTAAATACCATATCCGGTGGTCATACCGGTCTAGTCACCGGTACGCGGTATTACCGGTCAGACCGATAATATCGATGGTATTACCGGATTAGCAAATATAATGATATATATAAATATACATAAAAATATATAATGTCAAATGCAAAAAAGTTAAAAAATAAATGACCATGATCATTAGTTTCAACTTCTCAACACGATAAATATAAAACATTTTAACTACCAATTTAAATTTTATTATTTTAAGATAATTCTTTTTTTTTTAATTTTTCTTATTGGCCGGTATTTTGCGGTTTTTACGGTATGATCCCGGTACAAACCGGTATAACCGTAAATCCTGTATTTTTTAGTGTAATTGTACCGTACCAATGGTCGGTATCCGGTATTACCTGTATAACCGACCAGTACGGTACGATATTTAAAACATTGTTTAAAAGGTTAGTCATCTATTGTTTTATTCAGTTGATTATTGAATGAAAAAATGAATTGATTGTGTGTTTTGTCTAGAGAGTATCTCATTTATTCTTCTCACTCGTATGTTTCCCTACATCAGTTGGTATCAGAAGTCAACACGATTCACAATATTGTTGCAAAGATAAGATGCTGCAAATGACAGGCAAGTCGTCGCCATCTACAACCTGACCCGCTAGACCGAGTGGTTTGGCCGCCGGCTCGAGACGTTGGGTCGTCAGATTGCAGATCTGTCCGCGGAGATCGGGGACATACGTCTAACTATCCGTACCATGGTTCGAGACAAGCAAATGTAGCGTGACGCCGGCA